CTCGTCTCTCTCTCTCTCTCTCTCTCTCTCTCTCTCTCTCTCTCTCTCTCTCTCTCTCTCTCTCTCTCTCTCTCTCTCTCTCTCTCTCTCTCTCTCTGCGAAACGGTGTACTTGTGCGTGCCGCTCCTGTATTCACTCTCTCGAGGCTTGTGCAACCTCCCTTCCACCCCTCGGCCACCCTCGCCGGCCAACCTGCGCCTGCATAAAGAGAGAGGGAGAGAGAGGAGAGAAAAAAAGGGGTGAATTTCTAGGCACGTAAGCGCTCGTGCAACGCACCTAACATCGACTATCTGCGTGCACTTGTGCTCTACGCGCTTCCCACCCTCGCTCGCTGCGACTAGCGATGGCCTCAAGACGCTTTGGTTTCCCTCGCGATGTACCAACGCGAGTCAACAACTCGAGACCGCTGATCGATTTCTTTCTTCTTTTTTTTTTTTTTTTTTTTTTTCGATTCGCAGCTTTTCTCCGTGCGAATCATTTTTTTTTTTTTTTTTTTTTAACGTTAACAGGTTTTCTCGAAGAAGGATTTGAGAGGTAAATTTAATTAATTTTGGATAGAGACTAGGATGGGAATTATGATTTTATTGCGATTTTATTTTATATGGACATAATTTTGTACGTTTCGGAATTATTATATTGCAAATTTTTACTTTTCATTCTTTATATTTTTAGCCTTTTCACTTAAATTTCTTTAGGGATTGCAACAGATATCCATTATCTTTGTACAACAATTATGATTTGCGAGTTATATTTAATTTGTTCAGGTGTTTGTGATTCTCGAAAGGGGTTAAGGAGAAAGTAACAAATTTTAGAATTATAATATTGAAAAAAAGATGAAATATAATTTGTCACAGTCGTGTGCTTTTTAAACGTATTTTATACAAATAAGTATAGGAAGTACACTAAGTATTGAAATATTGAATTTCAAAACCAGCATTTTGTAATCACTGAATATGAATCAAGTTATAAATAACTAACTAACTAAATTAGAAATCTACAAAATTTTTTATTCTTCAAATTATAATTCTGTTTATCAATTATGTATATAAAATAAATAATGAATGAAGAATATTTGTATTATTAATAATTATAATAATAAAATATGTATTAGCCTACTATATTAATATCCACTAAAATTAATATCCATTTGTGAAAGGTGACAAAGATATAAGAATAACGAAGACGGCTAAATAGAGTCCATATGGCTATTTTTAATATGGTCACATGAAATAAGCTCTAA